CGCAGCCTGTTCCAGTGCTCCGTCACCCTCAGAGTAAAGAAGTTCTTCCTCATGTTCAGCTGAAACCTCTTATATTTCAGTTTGTGCCCATTGCCCCTTGTCCTGTCGCTGGGCACCACTGTGAAGAGTCTGGCTCCGTCCTCATGATATCCATCCTTAAGAGATTTGTACATGTTGATTAGATCCCCTCTCAGTCTTCTCTTCTCCAGGCTGAACAAGCCCAACTCTCTCAGCCTTTCCTCACAGAGGAGATGCTCCAGTCCCCTAATCATCCTTGTTGCTCTCCTCTGAACTGTCTCTAGGAGTTCCTCATCTTTGTTGAACTGGGGAGCCCAGAACTGGACACAGTAACACAGGTGGGGTCTCACCAGGGCAGAGTAGAGGGATGTATATATCTCAGAGTAGAGAGTATGTGTATATAATGCTCTGTATCTTTTTAAGAAAGCCTCTACATCTTGGGACTATGAGGGGGAATGTTTGATATATGAGCTAGCTACATCCTAAAGATTGTGAATCGGGAAAGAAAGAGGTGAAAGAATCCCAGAACATAGTGTCACCATTTAGTGGCTAAAAGTGGGAAAAACTGAAATTAGAAAGAGAAACAAGGGACTATACAGATGTGGAGACTTGCCTGAATCTGTTCATTGCTCCTTTCCAGAAGGTCTAACATTAAAATACTCTTCCACTTCGAAGAGCAAAGTCTCATTTTGAACACCAAGGAAACGTAGTTTTCAGTAATAACATCTTAAAATGCAAAACAGAAATGACAGGCAAATATATGATGCAATATATACATGCGTACCAATATATACATGAGGGCATACAATGTGAGGCCTTATACTGTATTTCTCATTACTTGTCAACAGTATATTGCTGTCAAAACGTTAAAAGCCTTTTTCCATAAATTTCAGCAACTTCAAAGGGTAAAACTGAAAAGGCATTTTAGCAGAGAGCTTCAAAGTTACAATTTGGTCTTTTCCAGGCTCCTGGTAGAAAAATAGTTTGTCATTCTATAGTCCATGGTTAAATCCTCCAACTTCCCAACGTGAGAGTTGAGCTGTAAACAGTCCAGGGAAAGGAATTCAACGTTTCCAACAGCGCTAAGCACAATGCGGCTCCCATACACAACAAACAAGCCAGACCATACAGAAGCAATGGCGCGTCTTTCATTTTTCTTTTCTCTGAAGATCAGTACATTAACCATTTGCCTCTGTCCTTTGCTCCTGCTTCTTACCATGTTATTATGTGAAAGCACATCTGATAATCTTTATCTCTCTCAGAAACTACAGGGGCCATAGACAGCCTACAATTGCTGAGAATACACTGGAGGTTTTTGAACTCTCCTAAAGCAGTTTGGAGTACTGATGTGCCTTCTGCGGATTTGGGCAATTACATACAGCCAGTTTAATGCTTCTCTCCACCACCAAATTAATATTGGATATTGCCACATGCAAGTACTGTCAGACACCTTTTTTTAAACAGTCCTTGTGGAATACATTGCAAGTATACACCAAGATTACAAAGAAATGTTCTTATCATATAAAAAGACAGATTTCATTTCCTCAGCTTACAACTAAAAGAGAAAACAGGTGCTAGAATTATTGCTTCTTTATGTTAGTATTATAATCTAACTCTAAAAGATAGCTTTGCTCAACCCTCTTTTAAAACTGCATGGTTTTTCCTTACTCAGGAGACAAAGAGCTGAAGTGCCATCTACGAGCATCCCTAGCATAAAGTAGAATCTAAACATCTCTACAGTGCTGAAGGCTTTCATAATCGCAAAGTTATGTTTTAAAGGACCTTAGAAAGCCAACAGCAATAGATTCTCAAGAGGGGGGGAAAAAAAAATCAAAAACAGTAAAAAAACCTTTGAAGTTTTGTTTGGAAAGTTTCTCAAGCTTATCATTTAAGATTCTTTAGCTGCTTTATCAATGAGAAGTTTGGGAGATCAGTTGAAGCTGGATAATCTCATTAGACAATTTCTGTCTGTACTGAATTCCTGGGACAACAATAAGGTTGTTCGTCATAACCAGTTCTGAATCATCTGCTTAAATTTTAAGAAGCTGTTCAGAGTCATCTGTGCTGTATGTCAAGTGTCACAACTACATCAGAATTATGCAAAGAAAAAAAGCAGTGTGTGACAGTCTGTTATTTTCCTATCAGAAATGAAAATGAGTTCACAAAGTGTTAGAGAGCTTAAGATCCTATTTAGTAATCACAGCGTCTGCAACAGGAGCCCTGACAGATCCAGGAAGCTTCCTAAGGAAGATAAGTCCTTGTTTCTGTGTTTGGACACATTTTAACACTGTCCTGCTGCTACGAGCTTTCTTGAAAGTGTTGTATCCTTCAAAATATACACAAGGCCAAAGGCTTCTAGGAATTATTCAGCAAGCTGTGATGCCAGCTGACCACAGAAACAGTTGTTCCCTGCCAAAATGCGGTGCTGAGATCCCTGTCCTGACCACACACAAGTTATTTCCAGACCAGCTGCCGGTCTGGGCACAGCGGCAGCTGCTCCAGCTCGCCTGCCTGCCGTCCTCACCGCAGCAGCCCCGCACGGAGCCAAGTAAACATGCCAGCCTGCTCAGAAGTCCCAAATGCTGACTTCCGTTGCACTGCATGGACGTGCTATTTGGCATTCTGGTTCTTCTAAGAAATTACTGGATTTGCGTGCGTTCAATGCGATTCAGCAGCAGCGTGGGATATACGTGCATTCAAGTGCTGTGCGGGGGGTACTCCAGCACCCCCCTTCCCCATGCATTCCACTTCCTCAAGTTCTCCCCCAGCTTTTCCATCTGACACACTCTCGCCTATCTCCACAGCTCTCCTAGCCACACTTTTTTTATTTTATGCAGGCTTTGCCAGGCCCTGTTTTTACAAACGTTGGTAATTTTTTTTGAGGAGAACATGTTACAATGCAATAAGAAACTGAAGTGGAGATAAAGGCATGCTCAAGAGCTGCAGAGTATTTTGAAGCTGCGAAACGAGTAAAGCTAAAGCCCAATCTGCACTAGAGAAGTTTTGCCAACATAGCTGCATCCCAGATCACAGACGTAGATGGTTTATACAGGCCTGGAACAAATGCACTTTTTTGCCATTAGCACTTATGCCAGTTCCCTGAGTGAACTAAACTCTTCTGCTTAAAACATTCAGTTGTGTAAATGCTAGGATTTAAAGCTTTAAATCTAATAATAAAAAAAAGCCACACAACAGGAAAAGTATATGAAAGCAGCAAATGAGAATTTCCTAGGTATCTGGTACTCCCTCTCTTTGAAAGATACATTCCCTAGGAAAAAAAAGTTCCCTGTGGTGCTCATAGAGAGTCTGACCAACTAGTTACCTGCCCACTTTGATGCTCTGCCTCCACAAAGGAGAAAGCACGTACAAGAATGGCACTATGTTTTGTATTACCAGCACTGTGGCATTCCATGCAGAGTACAACACAAGTCATGTCCTTTTTAGTACAGACCTAAGTCTGAAGGCACAAAATCTGGATTTTGGGAAGAGAGCCCCCAACCTAAGTGTTCACAGTGGTGAATAGATATTTCTACTAAGATTGATTTAAAAAAAAAAAAACAAACGCAGTGCCAGTTAGGAAGCACCAGTCTCAACATTATAATTACACATGTCTGCCTCTTTGCTATGTGAACTCTACCAACACGAGTCTGTGTTTACCTATGAAGGAGGCCAATAGCTTGGATCTCTACAGGCTGACACAGTACCACATGGTGTGGTTTCAAGCCCACCGCAAGTCAGCCCAACCACAAAGATGTAAGCCAGCCTGATGTGAGGACAGTTTAGTTACCACTTCCAAAATGAAAACTCCTGGATAGGTTTCCAGGTTGAGATTTTATCAGACAGTTCCAATACAGGACCTTCCTGCACAAGTATCTCAGATCCCCTTAGTAAGATGTCCCTGGTCTCCCACCTGCCTGTTTAGAGCTCCACCTATGCTCTCAAAGTTCACTTTTTCAGTGAAGGCACTTTTTCAAAGGCTCAGGCCTTTGTGTAGCAGTTTCAAGAAAGACTCTGTGCATTACAGACCTTAACAAGGTCACACTCCACAGCCCACACTTGCTGCTTCCCACGGGGCCACAGTTGGCCAGCATTTCAGATAGGACCAGGTCTGTTGCCATTCCCCCATGGCACATCCTCCTCCACGCAGTGGTGGCAGCCCTCTGCATAGAGCAGGGCCCATTGCCGCTGAGGCAAACAGCCGGAGCTTGCACTTGCCCTTCCCCTCCTCACACCTTTTTCAGGGTCTCTCCCTAGACCTGCCGTTGTTTCCTGGTGGAAATCATTGAAGCAAGGCAGCCCAGCACCCTCTGACAGAAAAGCATTGTCTGAAGGAATAAACAAACATTCCTCCACAACAAAATCGTTTCCCATGGATGCACCATTTTGATAAAGCTTTCAAAAAATTCTGTCTGGTTTTCTGGAAGGGTGTAGATCCTTTCCTCTCTGTCTTTCCCAGGGGGACTGCAAAAAAATAATTTTCAGTTCTACTTCCACTAAAAAGTTGAACCTCCTAATTTTCCTCCCACCTCCAAACCCACCAACTTTAAGGAATGTTTTGTTTGTTTTACTCAAAATACTTCTTGGCCAGGACCACATGTGCATCACTCAGAGAAAACAGCCTGAATTGTCCCAGTCCTGATAAAGAAAATATTAAAGAACTGCTCTTCAGTGCAAACCCAATGCAGAGTTTACCATCTGATAGGCCTACTTCATCACATATGGAAAACAAG